CTCCTCCCCCTCCTCCTCCTCCTCCTTACCCTCGTTCTCCTCCTCCTCCTCCTCCTCCTCCTCCTCCCCCTCCCCCCTCCTCGTCTTCCTTCTCCGCTCGAGAGGATCCCGCGTTTCGGCCACCCTCGCCTGTATGCGACGTGGCGGGACGAGGGCCTGAACGGACTGTACGCGTCAATGGCTGAAGCATCCCATCACACGATCGGCAATTGGGAGAGGGGCGTCTTTGCGCGGGCCGACCTGTCCAATCACATTCGTCGTGGCCGTGACGTGTATGCGCCATACTAGGGGCAGGTTCTGAGCTCCTGTGCGTGGACATTTCGCAATGCAGCTCGAGAGGCAAGCTGTGCGATCCTGCGTAGGCCGCAGGATCTGTTCTACCTCTCCCATCCACCTCCTTCCTCTCTCACTATCCCTCCCCTACCTCGCTTACTCTCCCTCTCTCCCCCGATCTCCATATCACTTGCCACCGCACAGACTCTCTCTTCCCCCCTTGTCTCCCTCACGCGGCGTGGCCTTCGGGGTCACGCCCGCGACGGCAGAGTCCGCTGGCAGCGAAGGTGCTGCTATACCCTCGTTGACCGATCGACCGACCCCAAAAATGAAAGCGCTGCCCGATCGTCGTTCCATCGCCGCGTCTTCGCGTTCCCGTCGTTGCCCAATCGCGCAGCCCCAGTTGTTGCCGTTCGGGCGCGCGGCGATGGGGCAGCGATGGGGCAGCGATGGAGCAGCGATGGAGCAACGGTGGAGCAACGGTGGTCCCTGGGCGAGAGCGGAGGAGCACGTCGATTCGGCCCGAGCCTCGAACTTAAAGCCAGCGCAGCCACGACGTTCTAGACCCGAGCCCGACCAGCGCGCCGATGGCGGACCCCTCCGACGATGGCAAGCTCTCGAATTCAGAGGCTCTGAAACGCATCCAGGGCCAAGCTCGGGCAAACATGATGAACGCCATGGGCGAGAGGATGGGGTTTCGCACGCCGTTGCCGAAGATTGCCCGCAGACCCGAGTGGACTCGAGAGGACCGAGCATCGAGGCAATGGGCGGACCAGATGTTCCCCACGGGTGCGTATTTCAGGGCGTTGATGGATTCGACGGGAACCAAGATCCGACAATTGCCAGCCTCCTTCTCCCCCCTCCCCCGACGTCGCCCGAGCGACGATGGGTGAGGGTGGATAAAGGAGGTGAAGGAGTAGACGGAAGAGGAGGAGGAGCAGGAGGAGGAGGAGTAGGAGTAGGAGTAGTAGGAGGAGGATGAAGAGGAGGAGGAGGAAGCGGAGGAGTAGGGAGAGAGGGAAAGGAGAGAACGAGGAATGGGAGGGGGGAGATGGAGGTGGAGGAGGGGGAGGATCCTTCGAGGAGGAGGAGGAGGGAGGGGTGGGGGGAGGGAGGGAGGGAGGGAAGAAGGGAGGCCAGGAAGAAAGACGGAAGAAGGGCGAGGAGGAGGTGGAGGAGGAGAAGGAGGAGGAGGCAACCCCGAGTGAAAACTCATCTGAAGACGAGGAGAAGGAGACGGAGGAGGAGGTAAGAAAGGAGGGGGACCGAAGGAGGATCGCAAAGACCAGGAAGAGGGAACGAGTACTGAGGACGGGGAGGAGACAGAGGAGGAGCAGGAGGAGAAGGAGGAAGAGGAGGAGGAGGAGGGGGAGAAAGGGTCAAGGAGGATGACCACGCTCGCAAGAGCAAGATCCCGACGGGCGCGTGATCCAGAAAAGCAACCTCGACCGTGTATTGAAGGAGTCTGCTGCGACCAGCACCAGCAGCAGCAGCAGCACGAGCGGGCAACAACAGCATCAGCGTGAACCGAATGAGCAACGCAACGGAGATCAGCAGCAAGAGCAGCAACAAGAGGAGCAACAGCAGCAGCGTGGCAAAGGCCTGAGCAGCGGCAGCGCGGATGCATCGTCTCAGTGATCGCACGGACGGCTGACGGTGACACCCTGACGCCCTTTCTCCTGCTCCTCATCGTCCATCGCGTCCTCACAGACGGGTGACAGTGACTTTGCGTATTCCAGGCAGGCTCCGCCTCCCCTTCCCGCTCCGTGCTGGGTGAATGGGTCGGGCCCTGGGGTTGCCGCGCGGGCGCCTCCGTGTGCTCGTGGGACCTAGGACCTGAGGTGCGGACTCTTGGGCTCTCGGCGTCTCGGGTCTCTTGGGCCTCTTCTGCGTCGCCTCCCATTGGAGTGATTCCTCCTCCTCCTCCTCCTCCTCCTCCTCCTCCTTGTCCTCCTCCTCCTCCCCCCCCCCTCCTCCTCCAACGGTCCCTCCAACTCGTCCTCCTCGTCCTCCTCCTCCTCCTGTCCCTCCTCCTCCTCCGCCTCCTCCTCGTCCTCCTCCTCCTCCTTCTCCTCCTCCTACTGTCCTTCCTCCTCATCCTCCTTCGCCTCAACCCCCTCCTCCTCCTCCTCCTCCTCCTCCTCCTCCTCCTCCTCCTCCTCCTCCTCTTTGGCATCCTTCCTTTCCCTTGCCCATCCATCTCCTTATTATGATTATCTTCATCCTCCTCCTCGTCCTCCTCCCTCCCTTCTCCTCCCCCTCTTCTGCTTGCATCCTCCGTTATTCCTCCTCCTCCTCCTCCAGCTTCTCTTTGCCGCAGCCGCCGCCAATGTATCTTGGAATGCCTGTCGGCATAATTCGCCGCCGTCGCCCTGGCAAGGGCCAGCAGGGCAACATCGGGTGGGAAAAATGTTTCTCACGGCCTGGATTGGAGCGACGCCGCAGCCGAGTCCTAAATCCGACGGTGGTTGACCCGAGGGCCCCGATTTGAAAACGGCAATCGGTCTGTGAAATTCGTTTTGGGCCCGGTGGGGCCCGCTGACCCCGAGGGCCTCGCAGGCCCCGCGCGAAGGGCGGCGAAGTCGGAGCGGATTAGCTGCCGCCGCCGCCGCCGCAGCCGCCGCAAGAGGGAAAGGACGGAAGAGGAGGAGACAAAGGAGGAGGAGGAGGAGGAGAAGGAGAGGGGGGAGGGGATGAGGGAGGAGGGGAGAAGAGAACGATGACGAGAAGGACGAAACCGAACAATACGATGGGGTGGAGAATTGGGAGGAGGAGAAGGAGGAAGAGGAGGAGGAGGAGGAGGGAAAGAAGGCGAGGATGACGAGGAGGGGTGTCTGGAGTTGGAGGGAAGATGATGGGGGGGATGGCAAGGGCGAGAACGAGGAGAAAAAAAGGCGTGGAGTAGATGAGGCGAGGGCGATAACGAGGAGGAGGAGAGGCAGGGAGGAGGAGGAAGAAGAGAGGAACGAAGAATCGGGGGCAGACGACATGAACGCGGATCGAAGACGGTGGCGGGATACAGAGAGGGAGCGGAAGTTGGCGGGGATGGAGGAAGAGGCGGGATAATGACAACGACGAAAGGTGATGACGACGCGGGGCGGGCGGAAGGGGGAAGAGGATCCGAGGAGGAAGAGGGGCAGGGGGAGGAAGAAGAGGCGGAGGAAGAGGGAGAGGAGGAGAAGGACGAGGAGAATGAGGAGGATAAGAGGAGGGGGAAGAAGAGGAGGAGGAGAAACGGGAGAGGAGGAGAAGGAAGAGGAGAAGAGGCGGGGGAGAAGAGGAGGAGCGCTCTGCACACTCGCTGTCAACATCTGCAACAAAGAACCGCGTGCGACTGCCATTCAATGTGAGGCCATCGCCTGAGCGCCGCACACATTCGTCTGTGTATGTGCGTTGTTTGTCAGTAGCGCGTTCGATGGAACGCATTCTACTGCAACTTGAACATTGAGCTCTTAATTCAGATGGTTAACTCTTAAGGTGAATGCTTAACTCTTAACTTCAATGGTTAACTTCTAACATCAAAGGTTAACTCTTAACCTCAATGGTTAAGTTCATTAGCACTTAACCATTATGTCTTAACGTTACCCACTCTACGACCTCTGGGTATTTTTCCTGGTCAACCAGGATCTTTCCCCCGGGGGCCTGTTTCAGATGACGCCCAGCGAAATCAGATTCTCCGATTTTCCACTTCCCGAAATTGAACCGAGACTGTAAGCGAGACCTGAACCCGTCCCTCTCTTCAGGATGGGCGGCTATGATGAGATCATCGACCTCAATGAGACAAATCGCTCTGGGGGCCCCCGTACTGGAACGCTTAACCCACAAACAGGGTTCAAGCAACGATTTTTGAAAACCATCAGTGACAAGGTAGTCTGTAAGAGTCCTATGCCACAAAAGCGGGGCATCGTTCAGACCGTACACGGGCGCAACGAGCTCGATCAGCTCACCAGGAGCCAAATTCAGACCTTGGCATGGCTCACAAAAGATCGCGCCCCTAGGGCGCCTAAGGCGATCTGATTGGCAGAAAGCGTTCTTGGCGTCGGCCACCTCAAGTGTCCAACTGAGGGAAGAGATCGCTTGGAGAGTCAGCATCAGACTCTCTGCCTGGGGGGTCGGGGCGTAGACCTGAAGCTCCCCCCCATCTGGGTCGTGATGACCCTGCACACACCACCTAGACTTAGCCTCTGGGAGCGCCCCTAAGCCCTCCTGGGGCTTGAACCTGCGAACCATCCTGGATCCCAGAACCCGGTCGGGGCATCGGCGGCGAATCAGCTGAGCCTCGGCAGACGGAACAACCCGCACAGCTCCTGACTGGACGATCGCCTGCCACTCCTTTAAATCGGAGAAGTCGAAAAGGCGTCTCTCCTCCGAGGTCAAACTCTTCAAAGAGACTTCCGCTCCTCTGCGAGCCGGAGGGGCACCATTCGTACACTTGGAGGGGAGCGAGGCAAAGCTAAATGACGCTTCCCAGAAGTCCGACTTCCAACCGTACCAAGTGCACAGCTCATTCCAGAGCTCGTCGTCCTGAGGATCCTCCTGATTGGCGTACCCAGCAAACCAGCTGGCATCATCTGGGCCCCTAGAGGCCTCGCCTGGTTCTTGAATCGGCAGCTCGGGTCGGACCGGGGACCTGGACCTGTTAGTCGGCCTGGGAGCGAGAGGAGCTGAACCGGCGGGCGACGGTCGAGAAGCCCGGTCCCGGAGGATGCACAGCGGAACATCGTTGCTCAAAACTCCGCCCGATCTCCGATCGAACTCCTGCACGGCTCGCTGAACGCGTCCTGGTCCGCTCGCCTCCTCGACTGGAGTAAGCCTTGGTCTCTGCTGGGGGGGAGGGGCCACCTCCACGGGATCGGTGGGTGGAGGAATGGAGGGCGAGGGCAATGCAGGAACGACAGGAGGGGGAGAGGCAGGAAAGGGAGCAAGAGACCTCGGGAGCGGTGGGGCATCAAGGGCTTGCCTCAGCGCTTCGGGAAGGGGGCCCCATCTAGTGGTTTCGGGAGGCGGAGTCGTTCCAGTCGAGGAGGGCGGCTGGCGACTGCTATGTGAAACGGTGGCCGTTCGTCCTCCGGTGGTCGTGCCTTGGTTGACCGAGTCGGAGGGGGGTGCCGCAGCCGCAGGCTCGACCTGCGGCGCCGGCAAAACTGGTCGCTCGACTTGGGCGGCCCGAGGGGCAAACGCTTCTCGATCCGGCTCCCTGGCGTCCCAGGCTTCAGGGGGTGGAGGTCCTTCAGCCTCGACGTCGACGGCCCCGACGCGACCAGATGGATTCTGGAGCTCCGATCTGAGACCGGCCAGGGCCTGGGAGTCAAGAAGCTCAGCTCCCTGGGCTTCATCGCGAGCTGCCTCTCGGACCTGTTCAGACGAACATCTAAGCAGTCGGGTGCGCATGGCCACCCACACGGTGGTGCCTTGTTGGAAAACCACGGCCCCGGGACCAGTCCAGCGGGCCCGAGAGCCCTCTCTCTGCTTGGCTCCGTGCGGCTTCCTCCACACATACACCCACGTACCAGGTCGAAAGGCAATATCAGCGTGACGCCTGGCCCGAGCGGCATACTTCAAACGTTCCGTGACATCCAGGGACATCACCGCACGACGGGCCTCCTCACGCAAGAAATGCTTTCGAGCGAACGTCGAGGCCGGACTCTCAGAGTCCCGTGCGCCAAGCACTAAATCCTGAACCCCGACTTCGTCGACGGCATCGTCTGAGAGAAGATGCTGAGGCATGCGGGGGTTCTCTCCAAACACCATCTGAAAAGGCGAATACCCCCCCCGATTGCTGAAACGGTTCTTCGCCGAGACAACCTCACAAATCAGGTCTTCCAGCTCCTCGCGGTCCTTAATCGAGGTCGCCTTCATGGCCTTGAACAAAGCGGTCTTGACAAGCCCCCCGTGCCTCTCGCACCTTCCGTTTTGGCGTGGACTCTCGGCATCACAGACATGATGATACACCCCTAAGTTCTCGAGAGCACGCTGGAAGATGGCCTCAAATTCGGGACCCCCGTCGGACATAAGTATCTCTGGCACCCCCATTGGCCGCACCCAGGCCCGAACGAAGCCCGACCACACCTGTTGAGCCGTAGCATTTTTCAAGACCGTGCAGCATTGATAGTTAGATCCGTGATCTATCACATTCAGCACCGGGATATTCTCTCCGAAGGCCTGGATGTAAAAGAGATCCACCGCCACGAGCTTGTTGAAACGAAACGTCCGAGGAGGCTGGGCTCGACGTCTCCAGTGCGGACGGGCCTCCCCATCGCACTGGGGACATCGAAAAGACTTCGCCACCCACCTGACGACGTCGTCTCTTATCTTGGCAACTTTAAGGGACCGGACAAACTCTTCATGCCTGGGATGACCCAGATTGGCGTGCAACTGATGCACTTCATTTTGAATCTCTCGGTCGAGTCTCGGCTCGGAAGGAACCCCCGTCCCCGGCGGAACCCTGGGCCCAGGATCGTCCCCTGGAGGCGGATCCTTGGGGCCTGGAGGGGAGGGTGAGGAATCCTCTTCCTCGTCGGCGTCTGAGTCAACCTGCTGAACTCCCTCCTCAGACATTCTGGCAGGATAGGACGGATCGTCCTCTGGCGACTGGCAAAAGAGAGCGCGCGCGGCGGTCAGCTCCACCCCCTGGCAGAGCGCGGCCACGAGGTCACGGGGGTACTGCTGCGACGCCCTCGTCCTGGCCCCTCCCACCAGGTGCAGGTGCTCATGATCTCCGGGGCACTTGCGAGAGCAGATGCGCAGGAGATCGTGACTGTTAGACAACAGCCTAGTAGGTTTCTTGGAAACGGTCCCTGGTGACACCGAAAGCCCGAAAGCACACTGATCCATGTCCACGTAACGAACCCCCTCAAGAGCCGCGAGCTTCTGGATACTCACCAACTGCCAGCTGCTGGCAGTCAGAGGATGCTCGAGCAGAAAGAAACGCCTCTTCTGATGCTGGTGCGACGCGACCTGAGCACATATAGAAATGAAAAGGAGAGCCTCTTGCTCTGCCCGGGCTCTCTTGGCCGGATCCATCTGGCCCGCCGTCGTCCTGGAAATACTGAACACCGTGCAGGGGGGGGACATCAGGACCGTGAGAGGGTTCTCAGTGTCCAGAAGCTTCCAGAGACGTCTTCGGTCCTCAGCCTTGCGAAGATCCCACCCCGTCCTGAGATCGAGGGAGGGTGAAGTAGGGAAACCCAGACGCCTGAGCTCGGGCTCCACTCTCGGAACGGAGAAGAGCTCGAGACATATCGTAGCCCCCAAATCCTGCAGGGCTTTCTGGATGTCCTTTCGGGCACGTCTCTTAACCTTCCTAATCCCCGCCCCTTCCAGGACCTGCAGAGCCTGCTGACGGACCCTCCTCGGAACTGTAGGCGAAACAAATGCGTCCTGTTCGAAGTCCGCGAAGCGGTCCGCGAAACACCAGGTCGAACTCGCAGCTCCCGAAGCCTCCTGAAGCTCTCCCGTGATCTCGGACTCCGCCTGCTCCCAGAAAACTGGATGCCTAGGGTCGAGGCCGACTGGGGCCCCGGCAGCCTCGGTCCAGAGCTCGATGTCCAGGGAACTGGCGGGGAGACCATCTAAGGCCTCGGCGACAGCCGTGAAGGACAACAAGACGCAGAGCTCGTCCAGCACGACCGTCCCTGACTCTGAGTCGAGGACCCGAAGCCTTCGAACCCCTTCGAGCGGGTCTCCGAAATTCCGGCCTCCTGACCGCTCCATAGCCAGCTGCGTGGCCCAGACTCCTTTTTCTTGGTCCGAAAGACTTCTGGGAACCCAAGAGAGCAACGAGGATACCTCATCTTGACTGACCCTCTTACCTGTCTCCAGATCCCAGACCCCTGACGCGAAACGAGGAACCCGTTTTCTGACCGGGCGGGCGAGGTCTCTCGCCGCGGCTTTGAAGCTCTTGACAATCCAGCTGCCGTGAGATCCTGGGTCGGGAAGGGCGTCAAGGATCTCAGCCTGGGCCGGGATCTTCCTGTTCAGAAAGAAAAGGGATGAGGCAGAGGAGGAAGGACGGGAATGAGAGACATGGGCAGGGCTTCCTTTTTCATCAGGACTTTTGGCCTCAGGCCTAGCAGACCGTCCCGAGAGGTCGACAGAGCCGGTAGCATCTGCCTTCGTGCACGCGTCACTCTGGGTGGCGCCTAGCTCTCCTCGTCCTCCTGAGGCGCGGCCACCGGGCGCAGAGCTCCGAGCCCCTTCATCACACTGATCAGCAGGTCCATCTGCTGTTGGCGCTCCTTGCGGTCCTCCACCATCATCCACTGCATCGTCTCGAAGCCCTTCTCGATGTTGCTGAGATTGCCGCTGCTGCTGCTCGCCGCACCGGCGCTGCCTGCCGTGCTGCTGATCGCCCTCGGCTTCGTGACTGGCAAGGACTTCTTCGCCGTCGGCGGTGGCGGCTTGACTGGCACCCCGTCGCAGAACTCGACGTACCTCGACGGAGCCTTGTACCTCGGCGGAGGCTCGACCTTGATCTCCGCCGGCGACTCCTCCTTCTCGACCTTCGTCTTGGACTCGCGCTTGGCCAGCACCTTGCGCTTGGTCTCCTCGATCTCCTCCTTCGTTTTCCTTACGAAGCTGAGCCGGGTGTCGCAGATCCGGCACTTCGTGTAGTACCCGTGCCCGTTTCCGCCGCTCCACCTCGCCTCCATCGGATGGGAGCAGCTCGCTTTCGCTTCCTCCTCCTCGCTCTTCACCTTGGACATGCGAGGGGCTACGATCGCCGACAGACGGGAAATCGCACACACCCTGAGGTACAGCATCATCTTGATCGACCGCCTCCTCCAGGTGCGCGCAGCTGGGCTGAGCAGGAAGGCACCCTCGAAGAACAGCTCCTTCTCCACCGCCGTCATGCTCTCCTCCTCGTAGTTGATTGAGCTCAGCATGCCGTCTATCCAAGGATCTGGGGTCTGGTCCCAGTTCATCTCGAGCTCCGAGTCGGGGTCCTCCTCCGTGTTCTCGGGAATGACCTCCAGGTCCTCGTCGGGCTGGAAGTCGTCGCGCTGGGCCTTCAGCGCCTGGTGCCTCAAGCTCCGTAGCGAGCGGGCGCTCCGGCTCTTGATGATCCTGATCTTCTCGGATGGCATCGCTCTGGTGCTGTCCTAGTGGTATCGCTGGTCGGTCTCGCTGGCTTGGCTGCTTGCTGGCATTGCTTGAGCCGGGATGTGCTACGGAGGATCGGCTAGTCCCGAGACCTGAAAACTGTCTGGTCCTGGTACCCGGCTGTTCTGAATCGAGGCCTAGAGAGAGAGGGAAAGAGTGATATCTACCGCACGTGCCCCGCTGCAGCCCTTCCCCTAAGTCCTGATTCGAGCGCTCGATCGGGAACTCGGTGTACCCGATCCAGCGGCCCGTGAAGCTCAGGGTCTCGCTCGGGATGCCGTCGACCCAGATGCTCTCGACAACGCTGCAAGCGGAAAACTCACTGTCAAGCATCTGGTACGTGACACGGCCCGGCCCTGACTGCGAGACTGGAACAGGAGGCGGCTCAGCCTCGGGGAAACTGAAAGCCTCACGGCGAGGGCCCACGTGCACTCGACGAACAGCACCTGGAACCTGAACCCAGCAGTCCTGGAGCGTCATCGGGATCGCTGCCCAGACATCACCACGACCTGCCTTCTCGACGAAAGGCGGAAATTTGCTGGCCAGATCCTCACTGATGGCGAACTCGCTCGGCTTGCATCCTATCAATGATACTGCTCGATGCCCCGAAGGAAGCTTGAGCAGATCCAAATCACGTCGACTTCCATCCTCTCCAATCGTCATCACATCACGACGCAGGTCTATTACTGCCCTCAGAAAATCGAGAAACTTCGCCGGAAGCAAGGGAGGGCAAGGATGCGGGAGGACCAGGAACTCCACTACTCCACAATGTTGAAGCGACACTGGAACTGCTGCAACTCCGACTGGCTTAACTTTTCCTCCGACTCCGTTCGCCGTGGGGACTCTGTCGGTGTCGACAAAGTGTATCTCGAAACCCGTTTTCTTGAAAGCAGCCCTCAGCTTGTCGATGTCTGGCGTGCCAATCAGAGCCTGTCCAGCAGCGGTGTCTACCAGCGCATACTCGTCCATGTCCTGCAGCGTCGCCGCCGCGAGCATCTCCAGATCCACCTGACCCAGGTCGTGCTCCTGCTGGTCCACCTGACCCGCAGTCGCGGCGGCAGCGGAGAGCGAGCCCACCTGGCCCGACTCATCCAAAATCGCTGCCCAGCTCGTCCCGGAGTGAGTCGCGTCGTAGTCCAAATTGAAGTAGAACGAGCTCTGCGCTGGCTTCTTGTCCGGGCCCTTGTTGACCGCTGCCGGCCGTGATGACTCGGACTTCAGCCTATCGGCCTTACTCCGATATGGTCGTCGACAGTCTTCTCGCCAATGCCCTTTTTCCCCGCAGTTCGAACAGCGGGACCTCTTTTTAAAATCGTCTCTGGTGACCTTCTTCGTTCCCTTTCCCTTGCTGCGGTCAAAGAAATCCCTGTCCACTTTTCTGTTCGTCTTGAGCTGCCTAGATTCTGCCCACGTACGACGACGCTGAGGGAGCGTCACCTCAGCAAACACCTCGATGATGTGCTCCTCGTCAAGATCCTGTGAGTCCAGCGAAACGAGGATGGTGGCGAGCTCCTGCTCATCGAACTCCATTTCGTAGAGCCCGAAACACTCGCTGTCGTCACATGCATCGCACTCGTAATCCCCTGCCTCGTCGAGGACCGGTACCGTGGTCGCGAAGCTCCTGGCCTGAGCTGGAGCCTGTGGCTTCGGGAGCGTCTGCCTCTCAGTAATGTCCAGTTCCAGTAGGGCAGAACGAACAGCCTCCACGGTCCTTTTGCCAGCCATCAGGGTCCTCAAGTTGAGTCGAAGCTGGGGGTTCAAGTTAGCTCCTTCCTCGTAGTACCTGGCCTTCACCGTGTCAGGAAGTGTCAGTCCCAGCCGTTCTGCGGCCGCAATCTGTTGATCTCTCCTGATAACGTAGTCCGTGAGGGACTCTCCCTTCTTTATCGAGTAGTCAAATAGTGCCTGATTGTGGGCCTCACGCTCTTTATCCCCTGGACGCTCCCCGTTGAGCAACTTCAGATGGTCAATGACCTTACTGAGGCCGTCGCTCTCGTCGGTCAGGTGCCTGATACTCTTGAATCTCGCCTGAAGCTCGATGGGGAACGTCTCGATCACTCGCCCGGCGCGGGTCTCCGCCTTGAATGCGGTCCGCCCGTCCCAGGACTTAAGACTTGCCAAGTACAGCTCCGCATTCTCTAGCCCATGCCACGTCGGAGGCGCTGAATAGTCTCGATTGACTTCATCCCCAGGTGCCTTTCCCCACAAGCCGGAACCCCACCAGCTCCAGGAGGAAGACCAATGCCAATCAGACCAACCTGCGCGCCCCCAGTTTCTCCAGGCGTCCTCATCTGACTCAGGGCCGGCTGCGGCCCCGTCTATCTTCTGAGGAGTGGAGATCCTTTCCCATGGGTCGATCACATGGGCGCCCTCTCGCTCGGGAACCTCCTGATTTCGTGCAGCACCCTCAGCACCTGGCTCAGCGGCGCCCCCTTGACCCATTGCCTCGTCCACGCTCCGGCTACCATTGTCTGCAGGCATCGGGGGCAGGGAGGGCCGAAAGGCCTAGAAGGAACACCTTTTCTCTACCAAGTGTGTGAGATAGCACTATCATTCAGTCCTCAGGCGCGAGAGCGCCCCAAAGCCAAATTGGCTGCGTAACCACTGTCGGTCACAAAGAGGCGAGGGGAGGTGAGGAAAATGAGAACACCCTGACCCCGACTCGGAGCTGGAAGCTATCAACCAAAGCCTGGAACGTCATTGCAAGCGCCTGGGCCTGGACAGCAGCAGCTCCCCCAAACCCCCCCAGGGTCGTCCCGGCAATGGGGGTCCCGCTCCGCGTCAGCCAGGCGCGCCCCGCACTGCTCGAGCCGATCGCGGAGCCCAGCGAAGGCATCTTCAGAGTCTGGGGTCCCCAGCGACGCAGACGCCGGTGAGGCCACGCAGGGGATCTCATTAAATGGAAGGATGCGCAAACGGCTCCGACGACGCGCGCGCCATCCAGAGCGTGGCCGCGGACTTCGACGAGGAGACACATGTCGTGCTAGGACATCTCTGTCGCTATGCCAGACATTTGGCTGTCACGGCCAGCAGGGGAGGATCGCGACGTCTGCCTCGAGCACGTGACTGGTAGCGGCAACTCAAAGAAAGGACCGCCAAGGCGGCGGGGACATTCTGCGCGCCTGCGGCAGCTGGGCTCCTGAAACTCAACATCCACGCGCCCGCAGCAGCCCCCCCGCCGAAGGAGAGGGTCCTCAGCAGCAAGCTCGCCAGCAACCAGTTGGCGCAGCCTCAGGCCGCGGCGCCTTCCCCGCTCCAGCCGCCGGTGGACCCACCACCAGGCCTGCGGATGTCGGGGGTGCCCCGCCTGGCCCAGGAGGGCCTGCCCGCCAGGCTGGTGCCCAACGTGGCAGGCCTCTTCGTCAACCGAGGCGCCTACGGCCACGCCAGCCTCGTCTGTGCGTCAGGGCAACCGAATCGGAGTCTCGCCGCCAGCTCCGGAGACTCCGAGACCCCGCCAGTCGAGGCCTTCACCCGGGTCCTCCGGGCCGCCCACGAGCAGCAGCACCTCGACGACGAGCGCGTGCTTCACGCTCTCGAGGGGCTCCGCCGCGACGGCGACAGGGTGGCCCAGAAGGGGGCGCTGGCCTCGATGCGGCAGTCAGAGGAGCTGGAAGTCCACCTGGCGGGCGTGCGACACCCTCGCAGTGATGGTGTGCGGCACGCTCTTGGGGAGGGGGCTCTTCCACAGGCTGCGCCGCGCTGCGAGCACGCCAAGCACCTCATGCAGGCCGTACACTTCCTGGCGACGGTCTCAAACAGGATCGCCCTCGGGGCAGCTCCTTTCGACTGGGGGGGGCAAGGACCACGCGGCTTGGCTCCATGCTCTCTCTCGGTGGCTGCCACTTCCGAGGGGAGGACCTGGACGCCTACGCGATGCCCGCCGACGTGAAATTGTAGCCCCGCCCTCGACACCCCTTGGTGTTCTCGGCGTGGGTCAGGCAGGCGGAGAACAGCTTCGCAGTCTTCGGGCCCGTCTACGGAAGGGAGCGCGAATGCGAGCGGCTGCAGGCCCTCGAGATCCTCCCGATGGCGTGGCGTTCCTGGCCGCCTACGAGTGCGGCCTCTGGGAGGAGCTGGGCAGCGGGCGGGTACTGCTAGGTGGTGCGCCGGAGGGCTCGAGGACTCCCGCGCCCCTCGGCCGCCATCACCACCGCACAAGCGCCAGGGCGAGCGGGTGGAGCCAAGCGCCCGCCGCCTGGCGCCCAAGAAGCGAGCCCGAACGGCCCGCTCGAGCCTATCCCGCAGGCAAGAGGCCTTCACCAAGCGAGATCGGGCGGTCCATTGAGCACGCCCCGCGAGACCGCAACGGGAAGATGGACGCGTGTGCTTGAATGGGCTGCCCGAAGACGAGTGCCACATGCGCGAACTCCCACGAACCCATCAAGGGCATGGGCGGCGCCGACTGGACTGTCCAGGCCCAGCTGATCAAGAGGGGCGGCCTCGAGTCCGGCGCCAAGGTCGACCCAGCCTCAGTGGGCGGGCGCGTGGCCCAGCTCTGGGCCCGCTTCGCGTGGCGGAAGGATGGGAGGCGCGGTGAGCGCATCTCATGGCAAACCATCGTCGTCATCATCTGAAAGCTGCCACCTCCTCCTCCTCCTCCTCCTCCTCCTCTTCCTCCTCGAGCCTCACTGCACAGGCCCGAGTTCTGTTCGTTCGTGCTCACTGCTGACATACACAACCCCGTGTCGGGGAGACGTCAATCTCGGGTCTGGGGGGGCCTGACGGGGCCATCAGGACTATGACGAGACCCGAGCTGAAATTTGACGCGAGCTCCCGCTGCAAACATCCCACGCACACTGGACCCGACTCACTTCGGGACGTGCCCGTCAACATCGGCACCAGAACATCTGTCATAAGTGGGGGATACGGCCAATTGCACTCAAAATTGGTCCCCAAACCCCTCCCAGCGTCAATCAAGTGTATTTTTTACCCTGGGTCCATTTTTCAGCGTCCCACGGGCTGGAAACGGCCCTCGGTTTGAAAAATGCAATACGACGGCTTCGAACCCAGCACCTCGAATCTCGCCCCCCCCCTTCCTGCTCGCGGGAACCAGTGCTGGGCCACCTCGGACCCCCAGCTGGCCCCAGCACTGGACCGCCAAACTTCAGGACGGGCCCGTCAAAAGGCGTCGGCACACACGAGCCCCGGCCAACTCGAAGCGTCTTCCTTCCTTGATCAGTCTTCCTTCCTTACAAGGAAGTTGCGAAAAACTTGATCCGTCTTCCTTCCTTTCGCTCTTTGCCAGAGCGGGGTCGGCACTCCAACGCGCCTTCTCTAACAGCAGGGGTGGCCCGCTCGTCCTGCCGCGTGGGGCGGGCTTGCCGACGGCGTGGCGCCAGACATGTCGAGCCTTGAGGTACGTTCTCCCGCCCGTGCGGGGGTCCTGCTGCGGGGCGAGCCCACCGTCGGCGCCGCGGCCGGGGCCCGCCCGTCCCGCTGCGGCTCGCCCCCCCCGCCGTCCGCAGGAGGCGCGGGGCTGCCCGAGGCGCCCGCGCCCGCGGCCTCCCGCGCGGCTCTCGCGGCGTCGGCCGGCGCCCGCGGCGAGTCGGCGCCGCGGGCCGCGCCGCAGACGGCAGCGGCGGCCACCTCCCGGGCAGGGACCGATGGCGGCACGGTGTGCCTTCGGGCACCAACGTGTGAGCACAGACCTGCCATCGCTCGGACGTCCATGCCCCGTGCACTTGTCGGTGAGAAGAGATGCACACGTCCGTGCGATGTCGAGTAGAGGCCTCATGGCTGGGGCCCGAGTGCATATGGGGTCGGAGGATCGCGCCGCATCGCCAGTGCATCGCCGATGCATCGGCGATGCATTGGCGACGCATCGGCGATGCATTGGCGATGCATCTGCGCCATCGGCGTGGAGAAAATCGGACTCCACATCGAGCCGCATGGCCGATGCATCGGCGATGCGGCGCGATCCTCCGACCCCATTTATTCGGACCCCATCTGAGAGGCCTAGGCAGGACACCCTCCAGGAGCCGACGCAGACGTCCGAAAAACTGGTTCGGCGGCGCACCAAAGGTCACCCTGGCGAAGAGCCGTGCAATTGGGTCCTGGAGCACTCCTGGGAATCCCGGCTGGCACCTCCCCTGGAGGGTGCCCTGCCCCCCCCCCTGCGTGCGATAGTCACCGTTACCCGGGGGTTGCCGGGGGCTGCAGGGGGTTGGCCCAGGTAGCGACTACTACGCGCCAGGGGGCGAACAAAACAATCTCTGGGACTCTGGGGCACTACCAGCCAACAATCGGAGCACCGCCAGGGCGCCTTGGAAAAGCTGATCGGGAAGCCACCGAGGCACCCCGTGGGGGCACCCCAGACATCCTCCGATATGTTTTTTCCAATCCGCGATCCCCAAAGCCCCGAATCCTTCTCTGGGGGTGTTTTTTCGTCCCGGATCCATCTTTTATTCATGGTCTTGGAGCCTGGCCCCCAGAGAACCGCCCGGATTGAACAAAAACCTATCCTCGGAGATCTGAGACCGTCAGGGCGCCCCGCGTTAGCAGCCGCCCGACGAGCCGACGCGGCTACCCGAGGAGCTCGCGCACAGCCTCGTGCGGCTCGCCAAGCCCCGTGCCCTCGCGCGCGCGCCCCCTCCTCCCGTCCAGTGAAGGGATGCAGTCATAGTGCTACCATGAGGAACGCATGATAGCGAACGAAGGGGCTTTTCTGGCCACGGCGGCCCTGGGCCACAAGCAGGCTCCACGGCACAAATCGAGGGAGCGGCCCGAAAACCCAAGCTCCTCCTGAGCTCAGAGCGGTCCTAATTTCAGCGTCTTGACTGTAGGGCACCACTCCTCAAGCCACCGGGCCGCAGGGCGCGGGTGGTCATCTTCGGGCGCTGGTCGTCACAGGACGCTCTCGGGAGAAGTCTCGCACCACACTGTCGAGGTGCCCCTCCCCCCGACCCAGGAGCATCGGGAACCATTTTGGTGAGATCGGTGTACGCGGTCTGCTATTCGAATCCAAGTAACCTCCTTAAGGTGAGCCTGCTTGTGGAGCCGGATGTAACCGCCGATGCCGCTGGCCGCCACTTTCTCCATTCTCTTGAGCACAGACTCGACGTCCACCGTCCCCTGCTGGCTATCTGGGATGCGCTTGCGGAGCTTGGAGGTGAGGGAGTACATCTCCTTCTGCACCTCGTTCAGGGCTAGGTGAAGAGTTGTATTCTCATGAAATATGGCGCTGAGCTGAGCCTTCTGCACCTTGACCTTGTCGCGCAGAACCTTCTTCTGGTCAAGCAAGATGGACCTGGACTTGAACTCCTCCGCTGCAGTCGCCCGGCTCGCCGCGTTCCCGAGCTCGGTGGGGACCGGCTGCTGATCCTCGTCCGGCTCCTCCTCATCTTCCTCTGCGAATGCGTCGGAGACAAAGTCCTGCGCTCCGAGGGCCGCCTCGAGCACTTTGATGCGAGACTGTGCCAGGCCCAGCGCGGCCTTTGAAGCTTCCAGCTCGTCGCACGCGGCCTTCCTGGCCCTCGACTCGGCTTCGAGCTGGACGAGCCCCGGGCTGTCGTCCCTCTCCGAGCTCGTGAGCGCCCGCAGCCGCTCCTCCGCTGCGGCGAGCTCCTCGCGCGCCGCCTGCAGCTCCTCCCGCAGGGAGTCCGCCATCGAACTGACGAAGTCGGCGCGCTCTCGCGCCTCCCGCGCGGCCCCCACTGGGCCTTCCTCCGGTGGCTCCGCCCCGCCCGCAGCCCCTTCGCCCTCTACGCCACTCCCGCGCCCGGCCTCGGCTGCACGCGCGGGGGCCCTGCCTCCCCCGCGCGCCCCCATGGCCGCGGCGTCGCCCTCCGTGGGGCTCGCGGGGGGTGCCGTGCTGCGGTCCGCCGCGCTGCGGTCCGACGCGCTGCGGTCCGAGGCGAAGCTGACGGTGCGCTCCCAGGCGGCGCCGTCGTCCGGGGGCGCCCCTCGCGTGGGGCCTCCGAGGCTTGGGCCTGCTGCGCCCCCGTCTGCCGCGGCCTGCAAACCCTCGACGGTGTTCTGCAGGCTCTCGACGCGCGATTGCAGGGACTGGATCAGCTCGTCGCGCTGGTGCAGGAGCTTCGTGGATAGCTCGGCCTGTCGCTCCGCCTGGTACAGGCGCTTCTCGATGGGGTCGCCCAGGTCCGCTGCCTCCGACAGCATCAATACCTCCCTGGGAGCCAGGGGCCAACAATAGGGAGACGCCTAGCTGCCCTCTGGGCAGCAGGGTGGGCGATGGAAGGGGGCGGGAGGGTCTGCAGGGAAGATCTGGACACAATCAGCGAAAGAAAACTGAAGCCGCCCCGCGGGGAGCTTCAAGCCACGTGCGCGCCAGTCACCTCCGAAGAGTCCGCTCAACAAACAATACCAAATGCGCGTCTCATCTTTACTGTGGCCGCTCAACAATGACGCATCGTCAAAACCCACCTCACGGTGTCACGTAAATTTGCGACGGACTTGTGAGACCCCAGGAGGAATACAAGTGGCCGCTGACCCACAACCCAAGCACGGCGGTGGGATAGGCAGGAGGCCACTACCCGCCGCCCCTGTATAATCCTACCAACCCTTTAGGGCGTGAGTGGTTTAGACAATTTCCTCTTCTATCCCCAGTTCTTCCCATTCGGGGAAGGGTTAATCACTGTTCCCTGTTTTTGAACACCCCCTCCCCCAGGCGACCGGCAACCACATTGGACCAATTAGCCCCCCCCCCCCTACCATCATTTGTAACAAACAGTACTCTGGCGCAACTCTGGCGCTTTCGCGGGCGCCCCGCGACCACTTTGCATGGTTTTTGATAGGGACGGCGGGGGTGTCAGCATATTGCGTGCTGCGCGCAGGCTAAACATTCCTCTCAAAAAACGATTTCAAAAATACACTTTGGCCACTAAATCTGGAGCATACACAGGGCCCTCCTTTCCCTGAGCCCTCATAGGTTTCACGACTCATCGAGATGTCACAATTTGAGCATCGGTGCCTGTGCTTTGCGCTCCCTGGAAGAGCCGCGCGCGCTTCTCACATAATGCTCGGCACTTCGCTTCAGGGGGACTCAAGATCCTGATCTCCTTGGGGCCAGGGCCCTGGGCACCTGGGGTCCCTATTGGTTCCCCGCAGCTGGCGAACCTGGCGCGGCTGGCGCACGTGGCACAGTTGGCGCACGTGGAGCATGTGCCGCACCTGGCACGCTTGGGCCTCAGGGATGCCTGGTGCACCTGGACCCGTGGCGCGCATGGCATGTGTGACGTTCTTAAGCTATCTGCTGACACTCGGGTGTTAGTTACGTGTTGGGAGGGCGGGTGGGAGTGAGCTAGACGGCCTGTTATCTACGAGGGTAGCTTGATCACTGTTCCCTATTGATATACACCCCCTCCCCCTGGCGACTGGCAGCCAACCACGAACAATGAGGACACCATGCTCAATCCCCCCACCATCCCTGTCAACAAAACAATACAATACGCACTCTGCCTCCACATTTGAAGCATGCGCGGCCAACCCGATGCGGACCACCCCACCACCCCTGTCAAAAAAAACATACAAAGTACACTTTTGATTTTTTGGAGCGAAGTCTTGAGAAAGTTCGTGAGGCCCGCGGGCACTTTGTGTTGTTTTTGACAGTGGCGGCGGGGGTGTCAGCATATTGCCGCCTGCTGCTCGCAGGGCTACCACCCCTGACAATAACCAATACAACATGCACCTCGCTGCTAACTCTGGATCATGCGCGGCCACACCGCGATCACTGCCAAGTGGTTTTTGACAGGGACGGCGAGGGTGGTGGCGTATGGCCTGCTGTGCGCAGGCCCACCAGACACAATGACTAGCATTGGTGTTCGACAAAGATGGTGGGGGCCGACATGTTTCCCGATTTGTGCTGTCACGTGCGCAGGCGCACCTGATACACTCTGCACGTGCCCCGAACGTGGCGCACCTGGCGTGGCTGGAGTATGCGGCACACCTGGCGCATGCGGAGCACGTGGCGCATCTGGCGCACCAGGCGTGCCTGGCACGCTCTGGCCCCAGGGGTACCTGGCGCGCGTGGCGCGCGTGGTGCATCTCGCCCCAGCGTCGCGCACACGAAATCGATTTTGATTCCCAGTAGCTGCCCATCCAAGGACGAGCGCCAAACATGCTCAGGCTCGGGTGTTACTTATGTGTTGGGAGGCGGGTGGGAGTGAGCTAGACGCCTTGCTATCTAGGAGGGTGTTCTGATCACTGTTCCCTATTAGTATACACCTCCTCCCCCAGGCGACAGGCAGCCAACCAGGAACAATGAGGACACCATGCTCAATCCCCCCCACCATCCCTGCCAAACAGCGATGCAAAACGCACTCCGCCTCCACATTTGAAGCATGCGCGGCAAACCCGATGCGGACCACCCCCCTTCCCTGCCAAACAAAAAACAATACAGCGGATATTGTGGGGCAAAGTCTTGAATCATGTTCGTGAGGCCTGCGAACACTTTGAATTGTTTTTGTTAGGGGCGGTGGTGGTGCCAATCTATTGCCTGCTGTGCGCAAGGCTACAACCCTAACAAAAAATAGCCGGACGAAAGACCCAACCATATGCAGCTGCGAATGCCGCATTGTGGGTACCGCTTTCGGTGGAGCCCCCTTATGGGGCCACGAAACAAGCGAGGGGTGCGCCGAAATCGGTGGCGCGGACGCATGTGGACACCGCGACTGGGACCTTCGGTGGAACTCCCTATGAAGCCACGAAGCGCCTGCCACAGAGGCCTTCGGTGGAGCTCCCTGTGGGGCCACGAGCCGTGTGAGGGGTGTGCCTACATGGGTGGCGTTGACGCATGCGGACCATGCCACTGGAGCCTTCGGTGGAGCTCCTGATGGGCCCACGAAGCGCTGTCCTGGGTGGCGCTGACGCATGCGGACCCTGCCACTGGAGCCTTCCCTATGGGGCAACGAAGCGCTTTCCTGGGTGGCGTTGACGCATGCGGACCATGCCACTGGAGCCTTCGGTGGAACTTCCGATAGGGCCCACGAAACGCTGTCCTGGGTGGCGCTGACGCATGCGGACCCTGCCAATGGAGCCTTCGGTGGAGCCCACTTTTTTCCAGCGCAATATTTTGGGAGAAGGAGGAGGAAAGCTGAGGGGACGATGCGGACAGAACGGATGACCTCGCGTGGCGTCAAAATTGGTACCAGGGCAACCTTCAAAATCCGGCCGTGTTCTTGGGGCCCGACTCCAAGCGAACAAGGGTCGCCACAGCGGGAGGAGGGGAAGGAGGAGGAGGAGGAAGAGGAGGAGGAGGAGAGGGGAGGGAAGCAGATGATAACTCCCAAACACATGGAGCAGCGCTCAAGCCAACCTGCAATAGGCGAGCCGTTGCGCGCATCCGCGGACGTGCGAACCTGACAGTGCATAATTATAGAACTGAGCCCACGCTCCGTGAATGACTACGTAAACTGAGAGCCCGGGATGGAACACTCGAGAATCGTGCACAAGGACTCGGCACGAAAAAGTAAAACAACGATGAATAAATCCGCCACGGGATAGCAGCCCGAACTACCAGCCAGCCCTGCGGCATGCGGCATGCGGCCACCGCACGTCCACGGGCAGATGCCAATTGGGGGGAGGAGGGCCGAGGAGCCGGAAGAGGAGGCAGAGAGCGAGCCCGCCCCAGAAGGGTAAGCCAGCGCTCCGCCTCTGGGAGGAAAGAAGAGGAGGACAGGGAGGAGAGGGGGAAGCTACGGAGCCTGGAGCTGCAGCCTGAGAAATGCACATCGCCTCCAGCAGCGGCTCCATGGGGCGAACAACCGTCACCCGAATTCCAGCCAATGGCGAGCCCACGGGTCCTGAAGACCAGCGGAAACAAAACAAGGCCCCGGACTCGGGGTGCGGGCATGCCCTCCGTGGCACTCGGATCGGCCACGCAGCCAGGACCGCAAGGAGGAGAAGGACGAGGAGGAGGAGGAGGTGGATGACCCAAATCACGAAAACCATGCAATGCAACAGCGCCTGGATACTGTATCAAATAAAGAAAACAACGGCCGCGTGAGACAAGAACCGGCGATGACGCCGCGCAGACATGCAGGAGCAGAGCAGGCAGAACAAGAAAAAACATGCTGATAGCGAGACTGTGATCAATTTTCCCCACTTGCACGGGCGACAAACCAGGCGACAAACCACGTGGTCAGACACACTCCTGGCACGTATCGGGGTTGTCTTGCGAACGTGGCCAAGACTCTGGTCGCGAACTGGTGCAAGGAAGGGGAGAGAAGGAGGGGGGGCGGAGGAAGGAGGACGGAGGAGAGACGAGGCAACCACATCGTGAAACAAAAACGAGTTTATGTAATGAGTGCAATTACGATACGACGGACATTCGTCCGGACACTCCTGTTCGCTACGTGGACGATTGCGGCAAGCAAGTGCAAATGCAATCATGCATGTAGCCCTGTGAAACCAAGGCGCCGAACAACAGCAATGGCCCCGGACTAGGGCAAGGTGATATTACACTATTACGGCACCAGCAGCGTCGGTGACACGAGGCCTCTTCACGGTCGTCTGAATGAGGTGCTGGAGCTTCGGGTGGCCGAGCGCGGCCGCGCGAACATAGCCCCGGAATGCGTCGGGCGCGTCGGCGCACGATTGTCCGTGTCGCCACGCATTGTGCGTCCTAAACAAAGCATACACCCCAACAGCACGGAGGTCAACTGCAGCCGCCGTGGCCCCCTCACCCCTACACTGTTCAGGGAGGGAAGACACGTGCGGGGCGATGCCCAGAAAATCTGCCAATCGGGACTCAGGTGCTGGCCGGCTGAGCCCTAGGAAGCGGTGGCACAACGAATGAAACGAACTACAAAACGCGTAGTGCTCGAGGGAGTCCTCTCCTCTTCGGCAGCCGAAGAGGCAGCCTTCAGATCCCTGGAAGCGCCTTGCTGTACACCAGCCGTTCCACGCTGAGCGTAGTTGAGAAGCCTGCGCTCGAGGAGGGATGGGAGGGGCGGACAGAGCGAGAGAGCGCGCCCAGGCGGCGGGGCGGTGCCCTGGCAAAACGGAGGCCTGCCACAGGTCGAGCTTGCGCCTCACGTGGGCTGCCGAGGAGTGCCTGGCAACGGCGCGAAAAACTCGCGCGGCCCGGGCCTGTCATCCCTTCTTCTCGTCCGCTGCGGGGTCGCCTGCTGTCAGCGAGTGGCCGCCCAGGCGCGCCGCCTGCTCCG